TTTTTCTTAATTTAATATATCCCTTGAATTGATTTTGCCTGTTAAGACTTATGCCAACAAATCAACACATCGCCTCCTATTTCGAATAAYATGATTGCTGTAAGGCACTGTCTAAAAGTAGGTTAAAAAATGGTAGCTCAATTTCGAAACACATCAGACGCTATCCTAATACAAAATGGGGTCTTCTAGCTTTTGACTTCTGATGATATAAGTGACAAGACGAGATAAACCGAGACAAAACTAAAAAAAAAAAAAATAGAATAATTTTTAGAACATCGGTAAATTATACATCCCTTCCCTAACCTAAAGTCCCGTCCCTGTTGACTTATGAATTATTATAATTATTTACCTTACATGTACTGGGAATGCATGTTTTCCATTACAGATTACCCATTGACACTAGCAGCACCAACAGTCCATGATATTAACTCGACATCAGTAACAGTTAGATGGATCCAACCTGCGCTGAACGCATCCCAGGCTAGTGTGACAACATACGTGTTACAGTACCAGAACAATACACATACACAGACAATAAGTGTGTCAGCTCCTGCAACTAGTCACGTGATAACTGGTCTYGCTATCTATACTAACTACAGTGTTCAGATAAAAGCGATCAATAGAATTGGTTCTGGACAATGGAGTGCGACCACAGACTTCAGAACAGATTCAGCTTGTAAGTCAAATATATGCTTATCAAATATTTCCATGCAATATTTCCATATAACAATATTCATGATGACTTAGAAACAGTTACCACAGTGAGTGTGCTGTGTTGGTTTAAGTAGTATAAACTTTCGAGTAAACCATCGCTACATACAGAAAATATATATTATCAATGGCAAGGATGTGGTACAAAACTGGCACACGTATAATAATATCTATATGTATGTATATATCTTGAAATTTTAGTTATACATTACTATTGATTACTCAACAGATATGATTGTAATGCACTTTTGAATGYTTTGAATGGTGCTTATCATTATTTATTTCTTTTAGTACCTGTTGGATTCCCATATTCTGTTGCAGCTGTGTCCAAAACATCTCAAAGCATCTATGTTACTTGGCAGGTAAGTTAAGGTAATTCTATCTGTGTAAAATAAATATTGAATCCATCTCCTGCCATAATATCCCAAAGTATCCATGTTATTTGGCTGGTAAGTTAAGGTTCTATCTGTGTAAAATATTGAATCCATCACCTACTATAACATCCCAAAGTATCCATGTTACTTGGCTGGTAAGTTAAGGTTCTATCTGTGTAAAATATTGAATCCATCATCTACTATAACATCCAAAAGTATACAGGCATGTAAGAGGGACTATACGGGGATGATCCGCTGAACAGGGTATGGTTTTTCGAGCTTCTTATCATAAAAAGGGTATGCAATTTCACTCAAATTCCAAGTTTTTCCTGAGTTTCTTGTCATATTCAGGGTTTCTACTTTCGCATTGACCGAAACTGGTTATTATGGTCGTAAAAAAAAAAGCGATACGCGAGATGACATGATAATTTAAACGGGAACTCAGTGCAATAAATTCTATCTTGTGTCATAAACAGGGTCCACAANAGCTGTGTCCAAAACATCTCAAAGCATCTATGTTACTTGGCAGGTAAGTTAAGGTAATTCTATCTGTGTAAAATAAATATTGAATCCATCTCCTGTCATAACATCCCAAAGTATCCATGTTACTTGGCTGGTAATTTAAGGTTCTATCTGCATGTGTAAAATATTGAATCCATCTCCTACCATAACATCCAAAAGTATACAGGCAGGTAAGGTTCTATATATAACTATACAGATTTGATCCGCTGAACAGGGTATGGTTTTAAGAGCTTCTTATCATAAACAGGGTATGCAATTTCACTCAAGTTCCGAGATTTTCCTGAGTTTCCTGTCATATTCAGGGTTTCTACTTTCGTATTGACCAAAACTGGTTATTGTGGTCGTAAAAAAAAGCGATACGCGAGATGACATGATAATTGAAACAGGAACTCAGCGCAATAAATTATATCTTTTGTCATAAACAGGGTCCACAAATTTGAGTTTTGTTATTATAAACAGGGTACCCCTTTCAGAATCCCAGCGGAACACCCCTACCCAAATTCTCGCGGAGTACCGCCCCCCTCCCCCCGGGCTATATGTATACAATCTTGTTTCCATCTTCTGCCTTCACATGCCAAAGTATACTTGTTACTTGGCTGGTAAGTTAAGGTTCTATCTGTGTACAATCTTGGTTCCATCAAATGCATCTAATGCCTGTTAAAACATGCCAAAGCTGTATTTCTCAACTATTGAACTTTTTTTTTGAGATTGCATGCCCTTTAGTTTGAGTTTTTCTTGGGGAGATTCATAACAAACTTGTCGTTCGTGTGGCCAACAACTTCATATCCATATTTTGTTTCTTGTAAATTTACGTTTTGCTTTGTTATGCGTTGTGCAAAATGAGCCAGTAGAGAAAGCTGCAAATGGCAATATATATTCTTATGATGCATTATGCAGAAATTAAACATAAAATCCAAGCTTGATCTGTTTCATACCGGGAAGGAATTGATTTGGCGAGTTCATTGGATAAAATTAAGTGGATATAGAGTATACGCGATATGGCTAGGTTTAACTAAAGAATAAAGAATGCTATACTATAATAGAAACATGAAAAGACATATTAAATAGTATAAAGTACAGGTCTTTGAGGCGTTTATATATTTTTATATTTTTAAGGCTCCTACATCTGGAATCAATGGTCCTTTCCTTGGATACAGGGTATTTTGCACATCAGGAAATGAGAAACATGAAAACACTTCTCAACAAACAAGTTACACGTTCAGTGGTCTGAGACAGGGGACAGTGTACAACGTCACAGTGGTCATACGTAACGATRAGGGAGATGGACCTATCAAWAGTTACGTGCTTGTTCAAACATTACAAGATGGTGAGTTGCTTGAGATAAGGCTACATATGAATCTGCACTGCACATATTAGACTCTTTTATGCAAGTGTCTATATGCACCTTCACTAACAATATCACGAATGTTTACACAGAAGTTATTTTATTTAAAACGATTTTATTTTATACCTTTGAGGCTTGGCATAAATGAAATAATAATTTTACTGCCAAAAGTTTGGATTCTTACCTTTATAAAGCATCTAAATTGAGATCAATAACACTTTAAAAGTGATCAATTGATGCTTTAATACAAGGGAAACAGATAAACCAATCTTGTGGTATTTTTTATTGATATGATGTATACTGAATTTCGGCGGAGTATCACATATTAAAAAAAGAATACACAAGTAATGGTGCAGGACCTTCCAGAGATGTGTGAAATCCCTGGAAGCCTTTGGCTGAATTATTTATTATTATTATTATTATTATTATTATTATTATTATTATTATTATTATCATCTG